TATTTTGAATTTTGTAACATAATCATAAAATCTGTCGTTACTACTGGGAAAGGTATAAGTAGATATAGATACGAAAGGTAATACTAAGAATAAGAAGATTAGATAGTTATAGTTATAGTCTATTTATCCATTTATCATTCGCACTGCAAGTCAAAATTGAATCTACTCACATTTGATCAATGTTAATGCTACACAAAGTATTGTAAACATCCCTCAATAATAAAACGCTTTTAAGGAAGTGTTGCCAGGATCAAGGTTTTGTCTAAATACTAAGGCCAAACAAAAAATATATTAGTCGAGTTAATGTCTAAAATCTATGTGTGTAAAAATGCACATGAATTTTAACCAAATAATATCACAAACAGTGGCGTTGCTAGAGTTGGTGTCACTCAGTGCAGTAAATGCATGGTGTCATCCCCCCTACCCCTGACTTAAACGGTGTATTTCTTCTAGTTAATATAAGTCCACCAAATAGCAATGACGAGAAAAAAATAATAATTTGTAGATGAGGAGGTAAATGAACTGTAACAACATTAAGTTATAGTTATTTTTACATTAAATTTAATTTATCTATTTAAAAAAAATCATATTCCTGGACTGGTCTTAAAAGCTGCAAACCTATCAATCGTGCTGAACTGTTAATAAGGGGTGAGGCCAGTGAAGAATCGGCGAAAATATTAATTTTTGAGGATTTCTGGGTTTAGATATACTTGGTTTCCAAAATCTTTTCTTTTTTTTTTTTATGATTTGAATAAATCAAATAATTTATTAAAAGATGTTATAAAATTTTGTAAACTAATATATTTTTAAGTCTATAAATGGTTGAAATGTCATTTTTTAAATGTTTTAAATTTTTACTGACCTAATTATCGGGTCACCTCATTTCGGACTCAACGACCTTGCACTTTAAATAAAGCACGCATTTGGATTGGTTTCTTGTGTGGAAACTTTGCGTGTGATTGGTTATCCTCTTATGAAATTTGATTCGACCAAGCAGGGGTCGCAAAACTGGTCCCTTTTGCCAATACCGGTATTTTCGATAATGAAGTTTACGAATACCGGAATTCCGGTATTTTTGCTATTTAGAGAATTTTTAGTCGAGATTCAAGATTAAAGGTGAGGATTTATCGATGAAATAAAAACATTCAGAAAAAATATCACATTTTGATTTGTAATAAGCTTTTTTTTTAAACAATAACACAAATGTTTAACTTCAGGCTTTAATCAAACGAACAAAAATAATATTCTTAACTTTTTAATTTAAATAGTTTCATTAATCACTTATTAAAATAATTGGTGTTGTTTTAATCTTCGGTCAAATTTAAACAATGAAATCATAAAAATGACAAAGTGTATAATGTTAGGTCACTTAATTTTGACCCCAAATGGTTGATGAAGAGAACACCCGCTCTGCCTCCACACTGGTCAGAGGAATAGACCTTAGACTATCATACGCAATTTGTATATATTTTCCTCTTGAACCGCCATTCTCAAATAAAACCATTTCTAATTTTACAATGTATCAATGCCTCCATCCGTTGGTCTGGAAGTATTATCCTGAGCCTGAAGTTTCTGTTGTATTTCAATTTCTATAATTGTCTCTTAAGCGGCAATGTATCTTCAAGTTCACCATGCTCAGATCCAAGAGGTTTAATTTCATTGTTCATAGATATTGAATATCCACGATATGTTTTCGCATCTGGTCGCAGTCTGACCATAGAAAATACGTCCAAGTAATCACTGGAATGTGCAGATTTTAAAGGAGAGTGAAGGCCTGAAGTTGTACCTCCCAATGTTTTAAGTATCTTGATACATCTAATACATTTAGCTGAGAGATTGTCCGTAGCATTCAAGAAATAATGCCAAACTGATGTCTTTGTTTTCGATAGTTTAATATGTTTTCAAATTTAGGTGGGTTTTTTTCAGGGTCCCCCTTTAAATGGTCCATTTCTTTCTATCAACCTGAAGGGAAAATAAATCATTCACAAACAAATTATTAATTCAATCGAATTGGTTTGACGTGTAAAACTTTGTTTTTAATGTTTACATTTTCATGTAAATGTTTGGCTAAGTACGGTACGGACAAACTGGGACATTCAGTCATGTAAATTTTGGCTAGGCACGTGACAGACAAACTGGGCAATTCAGCCTGAGACAAAATACCTCCAACATCAATTATGAGGTGAATTGTTAATTATTAATATTTTTATCACAAAATAGAAGTTACATAATTTTTCTGAGTCTTAAACTTAAGGTACCTATTTAATTATCAAAATACGGATTTACTTATATTTTTTAAATATGTATTTTTTGGGCATAAATAAAAGAAATCAACAATAAAAATTTAAAAAAGAAATAAAGTTGACCCCGTGATTTGAGTGCAATGTGTTATTATTTCCATACAAACTCTTAATGGAAGTCAAAATTCGATCTTCATTCGACTACACCAATCACTTATTTGTCAATAATATGAAAAAATTAAGTAAATTTTACTTACCAATCCTGTACCTTCACGTCGTGACTCGTCTCCACTTACCCACAATACACGCACGATTTAAAAAAACAACAACAAAAAAACAACAAACACAACGGCATGACTCTTGACAAATAATAAGAGTCCACAGATCTGGCTGGCGGTCGGCTCTCTTTAAACCTGAGACACGTGGTGTGATGGATTTATCCTTCTCACAAATTATTGATGTCTTGCTTTATCTATGACGTGGAAACTAAGAAAACGATTTTTTTTTTTTAAATTTGAAAATTAAATCCCGGGATTATCGAAAATTCCGGTTTTCATAAATCCGATCCCGGTTTTTTCGAGCATCAATTATGGTCCGGTATTCCGGTATTTTCGAAAAATCGGGATCCCGGATCGCGACCCCTAGTAAACTTCAAATTTTTCAAGTCGGTGTCCCCCCCCCCCCCACACCCCACCCTTTTGAGATGGTGTCACCTAGCGCGGTCCGCACCTCTCCAGCTACGCCCTGCTCACAAATTATTAAATTATCTAGTCTGTATGGCTGAAATTTTTCAAATCGGTGGACCCCCCCCCCCCACACCCCACCCTTTTGAGATGGTGTCACCTAGCGCGGTCCGCACCTCTCCAGCTACGCCCTGCTCACAAATTATTAAATTATCTAGTCTGTATGGCTGCAACCATGTGCTCAATGGGCGCACAAAATAAAGTGATTCGAATAACTATAGGAGATGGGGAAAACTAACGCATCGCCGCAGCCATTGTTTGGCGGGATATTGCTAGTACTTGAGAACTTGAGAAGATGTTCATTATTCGAATCAGAAAGGATCTTTTGAAATTACAGATTTTTATTAAAATTTTAATACAAATTGAATTTTAGAAAAAAACAGTAAAAAAAAACAACAACAAAAAAAACTTTTCAAACATTTAAAAAAAAATTGCAAATAAACAATAATAGTTCAGGTTTTATATAAAATATCTACATTTATGCATATATGGAGAGGTACTGACATTTGGACTTCAGGCTTTTTTCGTTGATGGGGAAAGAAAGAGAAGGGTTAATTTAGCGTTTAGCAGTAACGCTGCCATAATGGACTAGTTACCTGAAATTTGTTTGAAAGAAATTTCATCGACTGAAAATTGGATCGAACGCATAATAGTATATACTAGATGGAGCTCGCCAAACATTGGGGACAGCAATTCACGAACTTCCTATCTACTAAAGTTGATTGACAAAAACGTGAACTCGAGTTACGCACATTTAAGAAAGCCAATTTTGCTGCCCCCCCCCCCATGGGCGCCCGCAGGGGGGGGCAAGGGTGGGGGCACATAACCCCCCCCTACCCGGATTGATAGGATAAAAAAAATTTAGACAAAAAATGTATTAAAGTAAAGAGAAAATAAAGAGAAAGTAACTAAGCTGATGTCCTGTCCGTTCGTTCACCATACAAATACGCTACAGTAAATTAAAACTACATTAAAACATTACTAAAAATAAAAATTTTTTTCCCCCCCCCCCCCCCAAGAAAGTTAATCGATTTTTTGTCTCGCAATACGACCGAGTAGGTATTCACACTTCCTCGAATGGCAGTCTCGGCTGCACTGCACAAAGGAGAGAGGCATGACTTCTGGTTATCTGAGGCCCTCCGTGATGCTCTTTTTGTTGCAAGGGGATTTGTTTCACGCATCTTCTGCCTGTGTGACTCCCTCACACCCTTCTGTTTGCCAACTGGGGATGGTACTCTGCAATAATCTCCCAGTCGTTGATTTCTATGCTGGCTTCCCCCATGTTCCTTTTACAAACGTTCTTTAAATCGTAGTCACTGCCGTCCAACAAGTCTTGCTCCCTTTGCCAAATCTCCACACAGCAGACTCATTGGAGCACGGCCGACCTCCATTCTCGCATAATTGGCGAAGGCGCCTCTTGCTAAGAGCGGAGAATATGCTACTCATTTTTGAACGTTCCAAGACCTCTGCAAAATGCGACGCAGACATCTTTGGTGGAAGCTATTCAGTTTCCGCTCATGACTGGTATGTGGTCCACACTTCAATGTCAATGGGAGCTTACGAAGCACACATGCCTGATATATGCTTAGTTTTGTAGTTTTTTAAATAGCCTAAATTTTATAATGCACAGAAATAGATAGATGTGAATCATCAAGCTTTTATTAAATTAATTTTGCAATTACAATACTGATGGGGATATAACAAATCAAAATTTAGTACCAATAAATGTGGTTATCTTTAGTATTTACTTTCTAAAATATGTAGATGATGTGTTATTAAATTTAAGATACACTGAATACATCTGCAAGAAAATATAGATCAAGAATAACTAGACATAAAGTTATACTATGACAGGTGCATGATATACAGCAAACAATTTCTAAGTCAACTTTTCTTGTAAAAACTTGATAACTTGCTATTTTGGGAAATTTTTTTAAAAACTTTATTTTTTTGGCTTAATCATAATGTCAATTTAAATAATTTAGATGCCTAATTTTTTTGTTTTTTTCCAGCACATTTGTTTTAATAAATATTTATGAAATTAAATTATCAGATTTAATAACGTTCCATGTGTCATTGTGTTGACAATAAAGAGTTTTTCCATATATAATTGTTATTTTTCTTTTTTCCAGTGATTTTAAAGAAGGACACATCACCATCATTGAATTTTTACTTGAATGTCAAAAAATTATAATGTGGGCACACACTGAAGTAAATACTGAGATTTAACAAAGCATTTTTATTACATTATTTTTTTAAATTTCAGGCAAGATATACATTTTGAAAAAGCAATTTCCTGTCTTCCATGTTGTTAATGTAATTTAGTGCAGTAAAAGGCCTTTGGGCAAACTCAACAATTACAAATATCCTGCATTACAGGAAATAAGAATTTTACAATTATTGCAAATAGAAAGTGAGTTCCTATGTCATCAAACCTAAATATTTTTTTTTTGGTAACGTATTGTTTTATGGCTATTTTTTTTTTCATATTGGGTTTACTTGAGGTTGCCTTACTTTGTTAGGAAAATTCTTTAAAGCATTAAAAAAAACTTTTGTATTCTAATACATACAAACTATTTACAGGTATTGTTATACTGGTACTTAAAATCTAGGTCACTCACTCTAAATATTTGTGAAGCATTTAAAAAAATCAAATGTCATATCTGTTGCTTTCTTTTGCGTTTTTGTGTGTGAAAAATTGTTAGTCAGTAGTCCTTACTCAAATTTATTTTATAAATATCAAATACTCATTTCCCACCAAATTTAAGAAAAGAAATATAACCTTCTAAAATGATAAAACATAGTGGGAAATTGGTTAATCTTATAGGAGGAAATCATTGGGGTAAGGCCTGGGGGGAGAGAGAGAGAGAGAGAGGGAGGGCATTATTTCCTTACAGAACATTTTACAGACATTTAAAAAACAGAGAAAAGCAAGGCTCAGAACAAAAGAAGGGTTCAATATTTTTTTTTATCCCGATATGCACCTTTGCACAAGTGATAGGTCAAAATATTTTTCTCATCAAAAGCTATCTGCATTTGTACAAGCAAACCCTTTATTTTAAAATTACTGGCCAACTATTGTTTTGAGTTGTTTAAATTGTTTGCTAAATGCTAGTTTCAATTTTAAACAATTTTGTATTTTTATCAAAAAATGTTATTGTTTTTTTAACCCTTACAGTACTCGGCGCGTCTTTTTGCAGTGACCTAATTTTTCCCTGTGACCCAAGCGCATCTTTTTTCACTAGCCGATTGTTTTCCCTGTGGCCCAAGGGCATCTATTTGCCACATAGAGGGGTATCTAATAAAAACACAGAAACGAAGCTATAAACTTTTACCCCAGTCTTGGGCAGAATGTTTATTCGTTAGGGGAATAGTCAAATTTTAATTTGCTTTTTAAATTATGAAAATCGACCAATTACTGAGCTTTTTGAACGGATCTGTATTTGTTGTTTCCATGGTGCTACCTAATCGCTATTGCTGATGGCGACTTACACCCACTTGATGAAACCTTTTGTTCTGAAAATATTATTGAGCTTTAATTGGGATTAGAAGTGTTTTTTTTTTAACACCCTTATCCATTTCTGAAAAGATAATTCTCTACATGTTATTATCAATTGGTTAAAACAAAAAAGTTACAAAATAAATAAACAATCCTATATAATTTTGACTCATTCCAAAATAATGTCTGAGCCACAGGGAATAATTAGCCAATTAATGGCCGGTACTGAGACAATAAAAGCAAAAAGTAGGTCAGTTCTGTATGGGTTAAGCTCTGAAATATTTTGTTCAATGTATAAATAAAGAGCTCAATTTTTAAAGTGCCTAAAGTTATAACAGTGTCAGGTGGGCAGGGTAAGAGGCCGTAGAGTAGTCTGTTCTGATTGTTTCAGGGTGTCGTCAGTGTCTCCTCAAGCTCCTTCATAGAGATAAAGTCCAACAGCTTCTGAGGGAGTGGAAGTTTTGAAATGTCCATGAACAAACGAAAGCCCAGATGGTGCCTGATCCACCTGCGGCAGATCTGTCGTAGCGTCATCACTTGGTGGGCGTGGTCCAGCCAGTGGCTCACCTTCATTTGATAAGGAGAGAGAAAAAAGATGAATAGAAACATAGTATTGTTAAATTAAAAGTGTGGTTTTTCTTCTGAAACCCAAACATTGATAATTAAGATGTCTGTAATATATTACTAAAATATCTCAAAAAAAAGGGGTGGGGGGTGTCATGAAAATTTGTCCAGGGAATACCAAGTATCATGAGGGAGTAGTCAATAACAAGGAGCAGTAGTCAGTAACAAGAGGGAGTAGTCAGTAACAAGAGGGAGTAGTCAGTAACAAGAGGGAGTCGTCAATAACAAGAGGGAGTAGTCAATAACAAGAAGGAGTAGTCAGTAACAAGAGGGAGTAGTCAGTAACAAGAGGGAGTAGTCAATAACAAGGAGCAGTAGTCGGTAACAAGAGGGAGTTGTCAGTAACAAGAGGGAGTAGTCAGTAACAAGAGGGAGTAGTCAGTAACAAGAGGGAGTAGTCAGTAACAAGAGGGAGTAGTCAGTAACAAGAGGGAGTAGTCAGTAACAAGAAGGAGTAGTCAGTAACAAGAGGGAGTAGTCAGTAACAAGAGGGAGTAGTCAGTAACAAGAGGGAGTAGTCAGTAACAAGAGGGAGTAGTCAGTAACAAGAGGGAGTAGTCGGTAACAAGAGGGAGTAGTCAGTAACAAGAGGGAGTAGTCAGTAACATGAGGGAGTCGTCAGTAACATGAGGGAATAGTCAGTAACATGAGGGAGTAGTCAGTAACATGAGGGAGTAGTCAGTAACAAGAGGGAGTAGTCAGTAACATGAGGGAGTAGTCAGTAACATGAGGGAGTAGTCAGTAACAAGAGGGAGTAGTCAGTAACATGAATTAAATGAATCTATTTCTTACAGACAGAAACCTTTCATACAACAAACCAGCCTGTTGGCTACAGCATTGGGCAAATAAAGAGAGATAACCTACTAATACACCATAAATTCTGTAAACAAATTTGATTGGAATTTTATAGCCTTAATATTATCACAAAGACCATTATGATCAATTCAATAGCTTTATATTAATTTTTTTTTAAAAACTATTTAAACACTGTTTTAGACTTAAACTAGGTTTCAATTGTGCCAGTATTTATTTAGGTTGTCATAGATTAAAGGCCAAATAATTAATAAAGCTCCTCAATGAATCTCAAACTATTGTTTATGCAGCCTTCTGTCTTAAAAATGAAATGGATCTTTCTAAACACTTTAAACAAACAAGGTCCACAGTACTGTCCCTACATATACTCTAATATTTATATTTTACTTAAAATATAAGTCATTAAAAAATAAAAATATGATTTAAGATCTATCCTTTATTAATCCTTGATGTGCAGTGACCTTCTGTGTGATGTGTAGTGACCTTCTGTGTGACGTGTAGTGACCTTCTGTGTGACGTGTACTGACCTGTGTGATGTGGACTGATCTTTTGTGTGATGTGTACTGACCTTCTGTGTGACGTGTACTGACCTTCTGTGTGACGTATACTGACCTTCTGTGTGACGTGTACTGACCTTCTGTGTGACATGTACTGACCTTCTGTGTGACATGTACTGACCTGGTTATCAGCAAACAGTACATGTATCTCTGGATGACCTAGAAACTCCCTAAGATGATTGATATCATAGCCACTGATGATGAACAATTTGAGGACCTGAATTAGTTTTAATTCTACAGCCAACTTCACGGGGCAGCTGTCATGGAGTTGTCCAGGAGGGCACTGAAATAGGTATAAAATAGAGATGTCAATAAAGTTAGACAGATATATGACATTTATATCTGTAAATTTAAATATATATATATGTGTGTGTGTACAGAGAGAGAGAGAGAGATAGATAGCTATAAATACATATAGATATACATCTATAAAATTAGATAGATATATGGACATATAGATATAACTACCCGGTACGCTAGAATGTTTTTGACATCTGAGAAACCGTTCTCAATTCAAGTGAATTCTTACTATTTTTAAAATTGCTATCAAGCAGCGGTCTTCACTGGTGTTCAAAGGTTCACAGGTGGGGGCTGGCTATTCCTATACGAGGCCAAGTAGGCATTAGCCTGGAGTCTCAAACATTGAACGGGGTTTCAAAATTTCAGATTTAGAGGCCATAATAATAATAATAACAATAATAATGAAGAGTTTTCAAACAAAATAAGTGAAGATGTTGATGAAGTTAAACACCAAGCCAAAATCCACCTTGCCAAATGTGAAATGTTACACATTCATTTGTCTGTTCTATTAAACATAACCATAAACCTGATGATGAAATGAATCAGTCCCACGCAGATCTTAATCAAATGAAACACAGGCAAACACTCCAGATGGCCTTCCCTAATGTGGGAGCAATCTTGGGACTAGCTCTTAGAGAGACGTTAAATGTTATCATATTTAAATTCATATTTGATCTAATCCTCAAATGGATATTTAATAATATTTATACTGTTTTCCACATATGTACAGTGATTAAATTTTTTTATTTTTTTTTTTAAATTTTCCAAGTGCTAATAATGAGAAAAACTTTTTCCTTTTTGTTTCTTCAGAAATCATGTGAACAGCTGTGAGTTTGAAATGGTACCTCACTTTATTTCATAGTTAGTTTTCGTTTCTTTATTAAGGTATGTTATGAAACTGTTGAATGACCATTAAATAAAAAGTTATGTTGAGTGATGACCTGTCAGGTAGACATTACCATCGTTTAGAGTGATTGATATTAGAAATAATTATAATATTTAACAACAATAATATCAATGGCTGGTGCAAGTGCAGACTCTCTCTCTCCCACCCCCCCCCTCCACCCCCAATGGAAACTTACAAGTGTAACAATTTTGTTACTATTTTAATTTCTATGTTTTGGAGAAAAAAGTGTGGGGGGGATATATTTTTAATGCTATGGGCCCTTACAGTTGTGTTGCAAGTTACTGCACTTTATCTAAAATCTAAGATACCATACAACCTCCATAAATACCACGTGACAGTGCTTCACAATTCTAATGCCGCTTTTAACCGAACTAACGCATAAGACACACCGCGCACAATCAAACACAATAAGTCGGTGCGCAACAATGGTCGGTGAATGTCTCTACTGGACACACACACACACTACGAACTTCGTGGCGAATTCCGGTTTTTTTGGGGGGGGGGGGGGGGGGGGGGGGGGAGGAGGGGGGGGGGTTCGGGGTGGGGGTGTAAATGGCAAGTAAATCTCTGCTTGTGACATTGTCATCAGGTCGAAAAACAGACATTCCATTATTTATTATCACCTGTCTTCATTGCTTTGTTGTTTGATATCCCAATAGTCAATAGTATATCCCAATGGTGTATCCCAGTGTTATATCCCAATGTTACATCCCAATGTTATATTTCAATGTTATATTTCAATCTCATATCCAAATAGTATATCCCAATGTTATATCTTAATGTTATATCCCAATGTTTATCTCAATATTATATTCCAATCTTATATTCCAATCTTATATTCCAATCTTATATTCCAATCTTATATTCCAATCTTATATTCCAATCTTATATTCCAATCTTATATTCCAATCTTATATTCCAATATTATATTCCAATATTATATTCCAATATTATATTCCAATATTATATTCCAATATTATATTCCAATATTATATTCCAATATTATATTCCAATATTATATTCCAATATTATATTCCAATATTATATTCCAATATTATATTCCAATATTATATTCCAATATTATATTCCAATATTATATTCCAATATTATATTCCAATATATTCCAATATTATATTCCAATATTATATCCTAAAAATATATGGACCAACAAATCTATCAATAACATATAGCCAATAAAATGGCTGTCATTATTACTATTTTTTTTACACTTGTGAGGTGGTTGGCAGAATTCAAGTGCTGGTCATCAGTGGGCCCAGACAGAAGACGGACCAGAGCTGCCCTAGTCAGAATACTCTAGCCTCTGTTTCCATGATAACTTCACACAGCTTTTCAATGAAAGTTTGACAAAAAATACGAAACGCTACCGATGATGTTTGGCATTACACCCATGTAAAATGTAAAAAAAATGTGTGTTCATCATGTCAATTAATGTTAATAGAAGAGGGAAAACATGTTGGAAGGGGGCTGAGCTGGAAGAAGGGGGTGTGGGGTGCTTGAGTAATACCAAACAGTTTGCCAATATTATCATTTGCTATGTAGATCATTAATGAGACAACTCATTTTCCAAGCATTAATAACTTTATTTCCACCACAAAAAAATACATTGACATGCACGTAAATGGAAAATTACACTGCACTAACTTGGACATTAACAGAGACATGCATCAATCAAGAAAATATAATCCAAAAATTTGGACATAGCTGCACAAACTTGATTCAAATCCTTTACAACAGGATGTGTACATTTTAGGTGGGGATTGGGGGAGGGGGGGTGGAATTTTAATGAGGTAGAAAATTGTCATGCAGAACATTCAGCTATGATATACCTGATATGTATCCACCAGGCCATTGGCCCGAAGGAGCAGGGCCACAATACCGAGTCTGGCATTGGCCACAGCGTACCACAACGGACTCTTTCTATCACAGTCGAGTAAATTTATATCGGCCCCTACAGATATGAGATCACTCACACAACTAGAACAAAAAACAAACATGGTAACATTTGATGGCGTGGACTTAACCTTCCCAATATGGCAGTTTTGAGAGTAGCAAAAAACTTTCAAAATACTAAGATTTTTAAAAATCATAACTTTTTGTTTCCTAAATAAGATATGTAAATAAATTTGTATCCACATTCTAAGCATCACGGGTTCGGGACATAAAAGCATAAAAAATGCTATAGGATCATTTTGAAAAATCAGTTTCAGATATCTACATTGAGATACCCAGATAAATTCAACCCAGATAAATTCAAACAGATTTTTACTAACTGTGACATCACCAGACACTACAGTCTCATGTGAGTAATTGATTGATTTGATATTTATATCGCGCTGGTATTCATGCCACTTTAGCATGCTCAATTCGATCTGGTTTTCTGAAATCTATTTAAACAAAAAGTTTTAAAATGTTTCTTAAATGATTTTTTATCATTTTCTATTCCCCTCAAAGATTGAGGCAAACTGTTCCATAATTTTGGCGCCATCGCTTCAAAGGAGCGCACCCCATAAGACTTTTTCCTATGTTCATTCACACTGTGAACACTCAGCAAGGACTGTGTTGAAGACCGCAGGCTCTTCAAAGATACATGTTAATAAATCAATTCTTTGAGATATTCCGGTGCTGAGCCATCTATGCAGCTGTACGCCAGGGACTATTTGGGTGAGCGTGTGTTTCTAACAGTAATTTATTTATTCATGCTTCAGAGCTGCCATGAATATTTTCTTCAAATAGCTTGTTTAATAAGAAACTAAATGTGATTGCATATGTGTAACCACTCAGGGTAATCTGATCTAACATGTGTACCCATCAAAAGTTGTTGCTCTAACACGACATGCATATCAATACCATCAAAACTATTACCTCCGGTGACCCTTGTAGGCCAAAATATGCAAGGGAGTTTTTCCAGCCCCATGGTTTGCCTTGTTTGCGTCCACTCCTTTCACCTGGCACAGAGCGTGTATAACCCGATCTAGGCCTTCGGTGGCTGCCATCATGAGCGGAGTACATCCATCTTTGTCTTGAATGTTGACATCGGCACCTGGAGGTCAGGGTCATTTGATTGGTAAGACTTGGAAAAAGAGTTTGTGTTGATTGGATGTGATGTGCTATTTAGTTTATGAATGTGACTGAACTTGTAGTGATTTTAAATAAATTCTTGTCCAGGATTGAAAATAAATCCAGGCATAATCTCAGACAATGTCTGTAACAGAGTAACAACTCTGTAATAAAGTAATACTGGAAAGCATTTTTTTTAAAAATGCAAAGCCACTATAAGACAATCAAATAGCCACTATAAGAAAATCAAATAGCCACTATAAGACAATCAAATAGCCACTATAAGACAATTAAATAGCCACTATAAGACAACCAAATAGCCACTATAAGACAGCCAAATAGCCACTATAAGACAATCAAATAGCCACTATAAGACAATCAAATAGCCACTATAAGATAATCAAATAGCCACTATAAGACAATCAAATAGCAACTCTTAAAAGCCTTAGATATTGTTGAGAGAGAAACCCTGTGGAAACTATTGCAACACTGATATTGCACACAGGGCTCTCTACCATCATCATTAGAGTCAGAAGTGTGTCAGGGCTCTCTACCATCATCATTAGAGTCAGAAGTGTGTCAGGGCTCTCTACCATCATCATTAGAGTCAGAAGTGTGTCAGGGCTCTCTACCATCATCATTAGAGTCAGAAGTGTGTCAGGGCTCTCTACCATCATCATTAGAGTCAGAAGTGTGTCAGGGCTCTCTACCATCATCATTAGAGTCAGAAGTGTGTCAGTGCTCTCTACCATCATCATTAGAGTCAGAAGTGTGTCAGGGCTGTCTACTGTAATCATAAGAGTCAGGGGTGGGGCAGGGTTGTCTACTATCACCATTAGAGTCAGTGTTGCAAATGGTCAGGGGTGCAACAGGGCTGTCTACTATCACTATTTCACTTTCGTATAGTCATAGATTGGATTATGAGAAGGACAACATAATGTGGGGGACATGGAATACAATGGACCATTTTTAAGCCATTAGAAAACATGGGTTCTGCAGATGACATCGCCCTATAGTCCCAAAGCCAAAAACAAATACAAGACAAAACTGCAAAGCTTGATTCGATTTCCAGAGAATAGGACATGCAGTAAATGAAAAAAACCACCTAAATTTATGGGAGTAAATCCAAATAGCAAAAGAAATGTAGCAATAGGAGGGAGATCAGTGGGAGCAGTAGAAAATTTTACCTATTGAGGAAATTTAATTAGTAAAGAAGGGTGGGGGGGGGGTTGTTGTCGGAGGCAGTTATAAAGGCAAGAATACAGAAGGCTAGAGGAGTTGTTTCTTTCTTTACCCAACTTAAAAATATTTCTAGGCAAATAACGAAAGAGAGACAAGAATGATGTTTAGCTCCAGTGTTAAGTTTGTTCAGCCACATAGCTCAGAAAGCTTGAGGTCAACCACGAATGATTGGAAAGAGACCGCAAAACGTGGAGAATAGCTGCCTTGGTAAACCCTCGACATCAAGTGGTTGCACAAAACTGGCAGAAAGCTTTCACCAGCGAACAAAAAATAGAAAAAAACAGAATTAAATTTTAAAAATAGCCCTTGTCTGAAAAGTAAATATCCTAGAGGGCAGCAAAAAAAATTGTGGAAAGAAGAAGAGAGAATTCATAAGAGTGGGAGTTGCAAGCCATAGATTGGGACTAGGTGTAATAATATACATTCATAATAAAAATTAGCTGGCACGCTGCTCCTAGTTAAAAAAGCTGAGCTATTTGAGTGTATATATATATAAAAGATAAGTCTTTGAATTTTAGTAACCACTTTAAGTGTGTCCCTAAGACAAAATAAGAATGAAGACAGGAAATGGGACAGCCTCACCGTACCAGCTTTTATAAGCTGTTCAACAGCCACGGCCGTGTGGCTGGCATAGTGTAAAGCCGTTCTCCCAGTATCGTCCGTGCGGTTCACATCACAGCCTGCATCCAACAGGCTGCGGATGGCCAGGTAATGCTTGCCGCGGACAGCCAGGATCAAAGCTGTGTTTCCAGAGGAATCGCTGGCGTTGAGGCTGCAACCATGAGCTAACAGGATCTGTACAGTCAACAAATAGTAAAGCTTTGTTTTTAAGATTTCTTGACCTGTAAAATTGAATAGAAGACTTAACATTTAAACTTTTGAGTGTTTGTTGTACCAGTGTTGTACCAGTGTTGTACCAGTGTTGTACCAGTGTTGTACAACCAGTCAGTAATTTTATATGAGTTGGTATGTTTTTTTTTAGTTGAAAGAACTTGTTGAATATTTTCACTGTGGGTTTCAGTTTCTTTTATGTGTTAGAATTTTGTTAGCTTTTGAAGGATGGCATATAACAGATGGAAGTATTTGAAGAAAATAAAGGCACTTTTATTCTCTGATTCTGATAGACTACAATGCTGCAACCAAGTACTGGCATTTGTGCAACGGTTTGGGAAATGATGCGGCTATTCTAATGGCTCCTAGCAGGTGCCAGGGCAGCCTTGAAACTCGCAATTAATTTTGAGTCCACGGCGGCATTGTCCGGTTGGTTCCAAACAATTATTGCTCGTGGGAAGAATTAATGTTTATATTGAACTGTGTTACAACGAGGCACAGTGAAGCATCTACTATTGTTCTGGATGTAACTGCTCATGGAGTTGTCAGAGGTGAAGTCAGGGTTTACTGAGCGTTTGGCTCTGACTAAGCGACCTGGCTTCTGCAGGGTTAGATACGTGTTAGCTGGAATGGCCGGCACTAGCCCCGTGACCACTTTATAGAGAAATATTAGACGGAGCTTTTCTCGTCTGTTTTTGAGGGAGGGGATGTCAAATCAATTTAAGAGGTCAGTGACGAAGCCAGGAGTGGTGGATTTGTAGTCACTTTCGATGAAGCGCACTGCGTTATGTTGTATTCGCTTGATCTTGTCCACATCTTGCTTTAGGTAAGGGTCCCATATTATCGCACCATATTCTAGTAGCGGACGGACAAGTGTGAGATAGGCATTTAGTTTGCAGGATGTTGGGCAGTGGCGCAGATTTCTTCAAATGAAACGAAGTGTGGAGTTGGCTTTTTAAAAAAATGTTTTGACAAAGTAATATTTTAATATCGCTAACTTATTTATTGTCATGAAATTTTTAAAAAATGATACACTTCACTTCAATTCAACCAAATGTAGTATCAAATAAATTGCTATAATAAAAATGTCTATTTATATTTTTAGCACTAAAATGGTTGTAATATAAATTTCCATCTGTATTTATAAGAAATAAAGTTATCATAATATAAATTACTATTGGTCTTTTTTAGAAATAAAATTATCCTAATATAAATTTCCATTCATAATTTTTAAAATTAAAATTATTATAATATAAATTACAGTATTTATTGGCGTATAACACGCACTTTTTCTCCCTGAAAATAGGGGGCAAATGATGTGTGCGTGTTATACGCCAATATAATGTTTAGTTTTTTTTCCTACTATTCGTCTTTTTTAGAAATAAAATTATCCTAAAATAAATTTCCATTCATAGTTTTGTAGAATCATTTGTTATTTTTGGTTTTGTTTTTAAAAGTTATTCATGAAGTATGATGAAGATCAGGAAGCGAGCCTGAAAGAAATAAAAATGTATTATAGTTCACTCACGTCCACACATTCGTCTTTCCCCCATTTGGCAGCCGCATGTAATGCTGTGCTGTTGCTGCTACCTATGGAGTCTAGTGTGGCGCCACATTCACACAAATCCTTGACAATGTCATGGTGACCTCCTAGGACAGCCAGGTACAAAGGCGTGTTGTCACTGGCATCTCTGATATTGGGGCTTGTGCCAGCTGGTGATGAGATTTGTCTGGGTCTTAAAAAAAGGTACTTGGGGAAAGTTGACATTATGTGTATGCAGCAAATTCAACTTGAACAAGGAATAGTTAACAAGGGAGAATACAAGGACAAACACTATTGAACAGAAAAAATTAAAATTACTGCCCTAGTCTTCTTTTTTTGTGTGTGTCAAATTTGCAATTTTTTTTCTTTAATTTTTAAATAAATGGGTATACATGCTTTATTGTTTTAAATTTAATTGATATGTCAAAAGCTTCATTGAAAATAAATTTCCTAAAATTAAAATTTTTTGTCCAAAGTTTTGTTAAATGTCCTAAAAAACCGTATATTTGTATTACTCCAACACTAATTTATTTCCACTTTTAAATAAGTAAATCATTTTTGCACCCTGGAGTTCACAAGAAATTTTGAATGTGCCCTTAATTCATGTAATTATATATTATCATGACATACAATCATGTAGAAATATTTCATACTGGATAAAAGAATATCTAAAAAAAATTAAGAAAAGAAAAAGGGAAAAAAAAAATGAAAATAATAATTAAAATCCCTTGATTTAGACTTTCAATGAATACCATACTGACTTTTTAATATACATTTGACACAGTCTGTGTAACCCTCTCGACTTGAATAGATCAAAGCTTTCTCTAGGTCAGGTACAGAGGTGTGTCCATTCAACAAAGTGGTCAAGGCTTTGGTATTTTTGGACTGAACAGCCAAGAGGATGCTGGAAGTGTAAAGAGCAAATGGGCAAACATTAATATTCCTGTTGATTCAAGGTAGAGTTGATTGAAAAATAAGGGACAAAAAAAACAACAACCCTACAAAAGAAATACTTTTGAAAAATATGGATTTATTTTTGCTCATTTCTGAAAGCACATAGGCACATAGAAAAAACAATGAAGTTATTGTTATGACCTATGCACACTATTTATTTATTCAAGTCTTGAGGGAAGAAATTTGATACAAATTAGGCCTACACACTTATACATTAGCTTTCACAGATACTGGTGGAACATTTTAATCAAAATTCATACTATTCTTATTCATAGTATAGGATTGGACAAATTGAAAAAAAAATTAAAACTTATTTATTATTTGTCCAGGGGAGGTGACATGAGGGGTACAATTTACCTTAGACATCCTTTAAGACAACAATATTCTCTTGTGCTTTATCATAAAACTTGAACTTCAATATTTTTACACCCGCAGGGAGTCCAGACCGCGGGAACCCAACAAAGTAAAGTCCAACTTCGCCTATGCCTATATTGTATATGTCATTCGTTTTTCAATTATTTTTTTTTTAATAATAGAATTATTAATTTACAAGTAATTACATTGTTGGGTAGAATTCCCTTCAAGCCGGCGCAGGAGAATCTGGATCGTCAAGGAACTAGGCAGGGACGTAGTGTACTTCCCTACAGCCTACACACACAGTGTAGTGATTAGAAATAGTTGGTCGTACACACTTAATCTTAACTTAAGCTTAGTTTAGACTTAGACTAGACTGAGACTGTATTGTATGTAGTAGACGAAAGTCTTGTAAACATTAATTTTAATTAATCGATATAATTAAAAAATAATTACCGGTACCTATTCATTGCAGATATGTACACATTCAAATTAACTGTTACAAAGTTGCTGTTACAAAAAAAACACACTTTCATTGGATCGCTATAACAACATTTCTTTCTTGGCACACCATCACATTTAGAACAACACTTGGAGGTGAATGGTTGTTTATGTCTATATTTAGATCCTCATCCCCTCCTCCCCAAAAAACCGGAAACGACCTCAAAAAAGCACGCGCGCTGATTTAAAGGGAAGTAATACAGAAAAGGTAATGCCCTTTAGAATTAAACGGATTACCTTCCTTTGACCAATTTCTACATCAACTGAAGAAGAAAGTTAATATAATTATGTGTAGTGTCATGAAAAAAATTAAAGCCTTACACAATTGATAGACTGAATCGAAACTCTTGACAATTATTGGATTTTATAAAAAAATATTTAGTAGACCCTAAATTGTTTTTAGCTTTCTTGTTCAATCTTTTTCATGCTTGTTTTACAATGATACTAGTTATAGCCCGTCAAAATGACGGAATGTTCATAAATATTAAAATACTTTGTATTCTATAAGTATATTAAATGACGGCTGTTTCATATATTTAATATGTACTTATGATTTCGGGTAAAGAAAAGGCATTATACTTTTTTTTTCAATGCAACTAAGAAAACAAAGACATCTTCTTCATGTAGCGAAAAATTGTTTAATAATTGTAAAAGCATATTATGAACATGTATAGGTCTTTCAAAGATTGTCTCTATTGTCTTTGAAAAATAATGTCAACGCGTTCAAGAACTTTTTCCTTTTTTTTAAAGGTGACTTTACTGCGTATTCTTACGGTGTAAGGTTCTTCCAAATGTTTTTTTCTCTAAGCTTTGTTACATATTGAATTATGTATTTTGTTAATTAATTCATGGCATGCAATACGTTTTTATGAAAAATTACTCCTTGATGCGGGCTGTACATTTATTTTTTTTGGAAATCGCTCCCATAATGCATTTTAATCCAAAAAACAAAACAAATGTAACTTTCTAATCCAACAAAACAATTGTCACTTTTTAACCCAACAAAACAAAAACCACTTGCTAATCAAACAAAACAAATGTCACTTTCTAATCCAACAAAACAAATGTCACTTTCTAATCCAACAAAATAAATGTTGCTAGCTAATCCAACAAAACAAATGTTGCTTGCTAATTCAACAAAACAAACTTTGCTTGCTAATTCAACAAAACAAATGTTGCTTGCTAATTCAACAAAACAAATGTTGCTTGCTAATCCAACAAAACAAATGTTGCTTGCTAATCCAACAAAACAAACTTTGCTTGCTAATCCAACAAAACAAATGTTGCTTGCTAATTCAACAAAACAAACTTTGCTTGCTAATCCAACAAAACAAATGTTGCTTGCTAATCCAACAAAACAAACTTTGCTTGCTAATTCAACAAAACAAATGTTGCTTGCTAATTCAACAAAACAAATGTTGCTTGCTAATCCAACAAAACAAATGTTGCTTGCTAATTCAACAAAACAAACTTTGCTTGCTAATTCAACAAAACAAATGTTGCTTGCTAATTCAACAAAACAAATGTTGCTTGCTAATCCAACAAAACAAATGTTGCTTGCTAATCCAACAAAACAAACTTTGCTTGCTAATCCAACAAAACAAATGTTGCTTGCTAATTCAACAAAACAAACTTTGCTTGCTAATCCAACAAAACAAATGTTGCTTGCTAATCCAACAAAACAAACTTTGCTTGCTAATTCAACAAAACAAATGTTGCTTGCTAATTCAACAAAACAAATGTTGCTTGCTAATCCAACAAAACAAATGTTGCTTGCTAATTCAACAAAACAAACTTTACTTGCTAATCCAACAAAACAAATGTTGCTTGCTAATCCAACAAAACAAATATTGCTTTCTAATCCAACAAAACAAACGTTGCTTGCTAATCTAACAAAACAAATGTCACTTTCTAATCAAACAAAATAAATGTTGCTACTAATCCAACAAAACAAATGTCACTTTCTAATCCAACAAAACAAACATCATTTGCTAATCAAACAAAATAAATGTCATTTGCTAATTCAACAAAACAAATGTCACTTGCTGACCAACGAAAGAAATGTCCCTTGCCAATCCAACAAAGCAAATGTCACTTGCTAATCCAACAAAACAAATGTCGCTTGCTAATTCAACAAAACAAATGTAGCTTAATAATTCAACAAAACAAATGCTGCTATCTAATCCAACACAACAAATGTTGCTTGCTAATCCAACAAAAGGAATATTAACCCTCTCAGGACTTACGTAGATTGTATTTCGCCATTTATTTATTGACGCATTGTTTTGGTATTTGGGCTAACCTTCAACTTATCACGTATCTGAAAGTGATTTTAAAAAAAGCAAGGGAAAAAATATGTTATATATTTAAACCAACGAAACAATTTGAGAGAAAAGAAAAAGAGGTTGTGACGGCGTGACGACTCGTAATTTTCTTTTTGTCATTTATTTGGTTTAATGAACTGCCTGATAAAAGAAAGCCCCCCCCCCCCAACCCTAACTCCTCCACCCCCACCCCCCCCCAGCAGGGAGAGCTCCTTTGGTTTATCGGGAAACCGCAATGAAGTGGATCTCTCCCACAATTAAATTTTCAATACGAGTTCGGTAAGCCCCCAGGTTAGGGGCGCCATTGTTTTATCTCGTTGGGACGTAGTGGGACGTGGTGGATATCTGGGATTTTCAAAAAATGAAAACTAATCTCTCCGACCCCCCCCCCCNGGGGGGTAAGGCCGGGGAATCTCGTCCAGGTGTAAGGCTGATAACAGGCTAAACAATGTCTTCATTTCTGAGCTGGGTTATCGTCTCCTAGTGGACTGACTGGCCGTCAGCACAAGTGATCCAGTGCAAGTTGTGACAACGTTATGTATGGGGAAGGGAGAAGCTGGTGGGGGGGGGGGGGGGGGGCAGAGCTTGTGACGTTTGACTTAACATTGTAAAAGAGCAGGCTTAAAGCAGAACTTTTCAATTAATTAAAGTAAATCATTTTTTTTTTTAAAAGGGTAGGGGGTGGGTGGTGGGGGAGGGGGGACAAAACATAAATATGTTATTGTTTCGTCGTCAAATTTAAAATAATTTGTATGAATGAGTTCAAGTTTACAATGTAAACGTATAACGTATAACGTATAAATGAAAATTTCAGTTTTGTTTGTTTGCTGTTGCTCGGTTTACAAACAGGACATAAAATTGGTTTTACACAATTATTGTAAAGTTCAATCGGGTCCCATTGATCGGTGAAGCTTATTTTTTTTTTTTAAAGACACTGCAGGGCACTGTAACATGTTGTATTAAGTATAATGTATGTGTATTTACTAATGATCGGTTGAATTTATATTTAGATCCAGTTTGTTCACAGGTTGGTTCACAGCTTGGTTTACTTTTTTTTAAATGTATTGATACGTTTGGTGGATTCATTGATCACTCCAGACTTGATGTCTCGGGGAGAGCTCATGGGATGACTGCGCACTTGATGTCTCGGGGAGAGTTCAATGGGATGACTGCACACTTGATGTCTCGGGGAGAGTTCAATGGGATGACTGCACACTTGATGTCTCCGGGAGAGTTCATGGGATGACTGCAGACTTGATGTCTTGGGGAGAGTTCAATGGGATGACTCCAGACTTGATGTCTCGGGGAGAGTTCAATGGGATGACTGGACACTTGATGTCTCGGGGAGAGTTCAATGGGATGACTGGACACTTGATGTCTCGGGGAGAGTTTAATGGGATGACTGGACACTTGATGTCTCGGGGAGAGTTCAATGGGATGACTGGACACTTGATGTCTCGGGGAGAATTCAATGGGATGACTGCTGACTTGATGTCTCGGGGAGAGTTCAATGGGATGACTGCACACTTGATGTGTTACATTTTGTGCTATACCATTAAGTGTTTATTTTTATTATTATTTTTTTTCGTTGTTGTTTGTTCGCCGAAGAAGGCTTCTAGCCGACACGTTCGTTATTTTGTTGGGTCCTCTTTTTAAAAATTAACTTTTCCCCATACTTTGTTTCGCTCATTTCCTAGAATCATTGAGCTGGATCGAATTCACTGAACCAAAGCCAAAGAAGGTGGCCCTCAGTGTGTCGTATGCCTTACAGACCCCAGCCAAAGGGGGTGGTCCTTGGGATGTCGTATGCCTTACATGCCCCAGCCAAAGGGGGTGGCTCGGGGTGTCGTATGCTTTACAGACCCCAGCCAAAGGGGGTGGCTCGGGGTGTCGTATGCTTTACAGACCCCACCCAAAGGGGGTGGCTCGGGGTGTCGTATGCTTTACAGGCCCCAGCCAAAGGGGGTGGCTCGGGGTGTCGTATGCTTTACAGACCCCAGCCAAAGGGAGTGGCTCGGGGGTGTCGTATGCCTTACAGGCCTTAAGCAAAGGGAGTGGCTCTTGGGGTGTCGTATGCCTTACAGACCCCAGCCAAAGGGGGTGGCTCTTGGGGTGTCGTATGCCTAGCCTTACAGGCGCTAAGCAACGGGAGTGGCTCTTGGGGTGTCGTATGCCTTACAGACCCCAGCCAAAGGGGGTGGCTCTTGGGGTGTCGTATGCCTTACAGGCCTTAAGCAAAGGGAGTGGCTCTTGGGTGTCGTATGCCTTACAGAACCCAGCCAAAGGGAGTGGCTCTTGGGGTGTCGTATGCCTTACAGATCCCAGCCAAAGGGAGTGGCTCTTGGGGTGTCGTATGCCTTACAGACCCCAGCCAAATAGGTTTAGACACAAGGATATAGTAAACCTTGCAGACCCCAGCCAAAAGGGTTGCCACAATGATATAGTATACCGGGTACCCTACAGACACGAGCCAAAGGGGGTTTGCCCTAGAATGTAGTTTAAATTCCGGACCCGGTTCAAGAAGTCCCTGCACACTTCTGGCGAGCTGAGACTTGCGCCCTACCCCCCCCCCCCCCCATCGTTATATAAATATAATGGTCGTGCTATCGTAGGACTATATTTTGAGATCCCCAAAAATTTGATCTTGTGACGTGGGCTCGCCTTTGGGGATGTTGACATTCGGACTTGGTTTAGGAACTAACTCCAGATTACACACACACACACACACACACATGTCGTAGGCAACTGAGGCTCGGCGTAACCAATAAGAAAAG